CGTATAAGTGAGAAAGGCGAGGGTGGCGAGCGAGATTCGGGAGAGTGGAGAGCGAGATCTGGAAGATGGGAGAGAGGAGAACAAAAATATATGTATTTATACAATTTTCTCTGCTTTATACAATTAGAAATAACTTTTTATACACTTGTGTTTGTATAAAAAATGAGGAAGCGAGCGAGAGATTGGAGGAGAGTGGCGAGCGAGATATTTGGGAGAGAGGCGCCTGACAATTTGTTGCAAACGTTTGCTATGAAGCACAATTAAATCAAATCATAGTTACTCCATTTATTTTAGGTTATTAGTTTGCTATTATATATAATTTTTCCATTGAATTATATAAGTATTAAATTATCTCCTAAACTACGATTTTACATTATTAGTTATTTTCCTCATTTCCATTTAGTTGGCACGTCATAAAAAACTAACTTAGCATATGTGTTTTGTATATTTCGTGTCAATTAATAAAATTATATATAATAAGAATAAAATTATTTAAAAATAATAATTGATGTTAAAATAAATATTATATTTATTTGAATGATTATAATTTCGTATATCGAACTTAAAAAGTATTAATTACTATACTAGCGAACAATTATCAGGAGTTAATCAGTTTGTCGCGATTGAGTTACTGAGAGTGAAACAGAAGACCTCGTGATTAGGGACGAAGCCAACTTATTATTTGGGAATGGACTTTCGTGGAAATGAAAAAGTCCTTTATCGAATTGAAACTAATGACTTAATACTCCGAGAAAACAAAAGAGGGAGTCAAAAATAGGTTGTGAGTTTTGTTTTGTTTGAGTTAGGAATTAGGAGATTGAATTGAGTTTTGGTAATTTTAAAGGAAATTCTTATATAATATATATGTTATTTGATTAATTACGCTTTTAAGTGTTAATTTATTTTTATTATCATATAGACATTATTTTAGCTTTAATAACCATTTGATTAAACATATAGTAAAATTGTATTTAAATTGTATATTAGGTGAAGTTCTTATAAAAATGTATAAAGTTATATTAAAATTGTATTAAATATAAACAATCGGTGGTCTGATAGTGGTCATTACGAAAAAAAAACTATGAAAATATTAACGTTGTGCTAAAATTATATATATAAATATAATCTATAGTTATAATACAATTCAATTTTAATATTATATATTATAAATTTGATAGTATTTATTCAGAATAAATATAATATATTTTTAACGATGTAAATTTTAATTTAAATAGTATTCAAACGTTTCAAATTCACATACACTACTTATATTATATTTGTATTAAGAATGTTTGTCATATATTAGGTGAAGTTCTAATAAAATGTATTAAGGTTATATCAAAATTGTATTAAATGTATAAAAATTCTGAGAAATATGTACTAAATTTGTATTAAAATTATATTAAAAAATAATAATTTTGTGGTAAGAAAGACTGATATGTGTAGGAGTAAGAGATATGTTATAATTAGAAAATAAAGTTATATAATATATTATTTATATAAATTAGTTGAATTAAATTGTGTTGGTTCAAAACTGAAAATATATTATTAATATAATTTAAAATGTAAAATATTTTTTTGATTTTATTTAACGAAACTTCGAATATTTGATGCATCGCGAAATTGTGGTCTTTGCATCGAATACCAGATCAAATTATTTGAGGAAAAGAACTGACGTTGCATCAAAAAATTGAATTAGTTCAATTTGATTTTTAGTATTTATGTTTACCCCTAATAAGTTGTTCGGTTTATGAAATGTCTCTCTAAGTGTGCTAATAAATTATTCTATGATACGTAGTCAAATGTTAGAAAATTCATTTCTCATCAATAATTCAATTAAGAAGTTCGAACCCTTGTTTCAATTAATCCTTTGATTGGATCATTAGCTAAAATATATTTTTGTAACATATTAAGGTATCCCATTAGTAAATCAATTTGATCTGATTTAACAAATGTTGATACGATGGATTGATTTGTGCATACATGCAGAAAATTTTTCATTATTATAGCGATATTCCAAAAAAAAAAAGATTATTAAATTAAACAAAGAATCTTTAACTTTTAATGCTGAAGCCTTAAATTTAAATTAAATTTCTAAGATATTTATTATCGATTTTTTATTTTTAACGATTCAATTTTTATTTTATCAATAAAAAATACTCTTATAATTATATCCATGAACTATAAAAAATGATATACCTAAAAATTTCTTTATTGACCATTTTTATTTTAGACGTAATTGTTCAAATTCTAGAAAACTCATCGATAAATTGAGGTAACAACATTTATTGTCTTGTTTTTGTCATAATTAAACGTGATAATGTACAACTACCCCTCAACCTATGTTTGAAATCTTAGAGACACCCTTATACTATACTAAGATTCTATTGCCCCTAAACTTATTTCATAAATAATTTTCTATCTCTTTTCGATTTACGTGGCACTATCTTGTGAGTTCAGCATGTGCTGATATTTTTTTTGAACTAGTGTCACGTAAACTGAAAAGGAATAGAAAATTATTTATAATATAAGTTTAAGAGTAATATGACTTTAGTATACTAAAAGTATGTTTTTGGGATTTGAGACATAAGTTTGTGAAACTAATTATGCATTTTCGCTAATTAAATCGAAGATTATACTAATTTGTGTCTGAGAAAAGAGAAGGTGTTGGCAACTACTCTGTTAATAATTTTAATACAAAAAAGTATGTGCAGGCAAAATTAGGTCATACAGCACAGAAAAATTGAAGATGGCAATGGAGATGAGGAGAATTTTTCTGAGGAAATGTAATGGTATTCGCTCTATCTCTTCGTTTCATGTATTACATTCTTATTCTTCTTCACAGCGTAGTGAAGTAAAGGGTAGAGTTGGGTTAAGTAGTAGTAGCAATTTTGAGTGCTTAGATGATGCTGTTACTCTCTTCCATCAAATGGTTACAATGAAGCCTCTTCCTTCAGTTGTCGATTTCTCTAAATTGTTTAAGAATATGATAAGTATGAAGCATTACGCTGCTGTGATTTCTCTTTTTCGACAAATGCAGAAATTGGGTATCCAAATTGATGGAATCATTTTGACTAGTGTGATTAACAGTTATTGCATGATGCATCGTGCTGATTGTGGATTTTGGGTGTTATCGATTTACTTAAAGAGTGGTTTTGCATTTGATGTTGTCATCTTTACAACCCTAATAAGGGGATTCTTTGCTGAAAATAAGGTTAAAGATGCTGTAGAATTGTTCAAAAAATTGGTTACAGAGGAGATTTGTGAGCCTGATGAAGTCATGTATGCAACTGTCATGAATGGACTCTAAATTTTTTAAGAATATGATAAGTATGAAGCATTACTCTGTTGTGATTTCTCTTTTTCGACAAATGCTGAAATTGGGTATCCAAATTGATGGTGTCATTTTGACTAGTGTGATTAACAGTTATTGCATGATGCATCGTGCTGATTGTGGATTTTGGGTGTTATCGATTTACTTAAAGAGTGGTTTTGCATTTGATGTTGTCATCTTTACAACCCTAATAAGGGGATTCTTTACTGAAAATAAGGTTAAAGATGCTGTTGAATTGTTCATAAAATTGGTTACAGAGAAGATTTGTGAGCCTGATGAAGTCATGTATGCAATCGTCATGAATGGACTCAGTAAAAGGGGTCATACTCAAAAACCTTTAAGTTTGCTACGGTTAATGGAACAAGGGAACACTAAACCAAAAACAATTCACTACAATATCGTAATAGATGCCCTATGCAATGATGGGAACTCAGATACTGCTATCAACTTTTTGAATGAGATGAAGCAAAAAGGCATTCATCCAGTCATATCAACGTATAATTCATTGATTGATAGTTTGTGTAAGCTCGGTCAGTGGGAAATGGTTAAAAATTTGTTCTCGGAGATGGTGAACCTTAATATGTATCCAGATGTGCGCACCTTCAACATACTAACAGATGGACTATGCAAAGAAGGGAAAGTTGAAGATGCCGAAGAAGTAATGAAACAAATGGTTGAAAAGGGTGTCGAGCCTAATGTAATCACCTACAATGTGATAATGGATGGATATTGTTTGCGTGGTCAACTATATAAAGCAAGGAGAATTTTTTATATCTTGATAGATAAGGGCATTGAGCCTACCATTTTTAGCTATAACATACTAATAAATGGATATTGTAAGAAAAAGAAAATTGACAAGGCCATGCAATTGTTTTGTGAAATTTCTCAAAAGGGATTAAAGCCTGATATTGTTAGCTACAATACTATCTTGCAAGGTCTGTTTGAAGTTGGAAGAATTGGTGTTGCAAAACAATTGTTTGTTGAGATGGTATCTACTGGGCCGGTACCTAACTTATCCACTCATAACACTTTGCTTGATGGTTATTTTAAGTACGGACTTGTTGAAGAAGCTATGTCACTCTTTAATAAGTTGGAAAGAAAGACAGAAAATATTGACATTGTATCTTACAATATTATCATTAATGGGTTGTGTAAAAACGGTAAACTCGATGAAGCTTATGCTATTTTTGAGAAGCTTTCTTCAGTGGGATTGATTCTGAATGTGAGAACATACAATACAATGATAACTGGATTTTGTCTACAAGGGTTGTTAGATGAAGCTAAAGATATGCTTAGAAAAATGGAGGGGGACAATTGTCTTCCAAACAATGTCACTTACAATGTTATTGTGCAAGGGTATCTTAGGTGTAGGAAAATAAATGAAATGGTAACTTTTATGAATGAAATGACTGGGAGGGGCTTCTCATTTGACGCAACTACAGCTAAGTTACTGGTAAAGGAAATAAGTGAGAATACTTCCATCCTTGAGATGATACCAAAGCTCCACACGGAAAAGAAGTAAAAATTGCTATCGCTCGGTTTTTTCGGCTATGTTTTAAGCTTTGATACAGTTTTGTTTATCACCTCAAATGAAATTGAATCCAATGCAATTGTGGAAGATGAAATATGGCAATGAAAATGTTGCTTTGGCTTTCAGGCTGGCTTATCGAGGAGGTACATCACTGTTGATGTTTTGATTGTTTTTCCACTATTTTTTATCTTGGAAATCAGATATTAATGTTCTCTTGATATGAGAAATAGTGTGAGTTACCCTTATGTGTACATATTATAAGTTTAGGAATATCATATCCAATGCTATTTGTTTTCAACATGTATTGTCATTTTCTATCTATTTGAGAATAAATAACAATGTCCTTCAATATATTGAGGAGTAGCATATTTCAGACAGGCACTCCATTATATGATGTCAATTTTATTTACGTGTGGGTTTGCGGAACAGGTTCATCACGGTCACGCCAGAAGCTGAAGTTCTGAAAGCGAAGCAGCTGATGATAGGTACTATTTTCTGCTTCTTTTCTTTTTTTGATGCCCTCTTTAGTGTATTTGCTTCATACACAAGAATATTTGCAATAATGTACTTTATGATGGACTTGAGGAGTAACAATTTAAGCCACGCCAAAAAAAGAAGAGATTATACAAGAACAACAATTTTGAAAGAACAAATTTTGGAATACCTAGCAAGACTACTGGTTTTTAACTATAAAGCACACAAAATGAAGAAGGAAAAAGGGAACACTGAACACAAGAGTGGTGCAGTAATAATTGATATCAATACAACCCTCCATCACTTATTCACCACAACAAAGTTGTCTGAGGATTTATCTTGATTCTCTAAGGCTGATGTACTGGCAAAGAGAATTGTATATCGTCTTCCTTACATGCTATCTTGCAAAGAAAATTACACTGGTCAAGTAATCGGAAAAAGAAAGAGAAGCTACTCCATTTTATGTGGCACTTCTTTTCTTTTTAGCATGTTTAAAATAGAACAACGCCTTTCCATTATTGAAAATAATTTAATTATAAATTTCCCATTTTACCTTTGATGACATGCTTTTATAGCCACAAATATGACATGGCACGTTTAAGACTAGAAGTTCCTTTCTTTTGTCAAACTCTGTGTCCAGTGAAACCCCACCGCATAAAACTAAATGGAATAGGAAATAAGTTCCGTCTATACTTGCATATTTCCCAGGGTAAGAGCACTCACTATTTTTCACGAGATACTATTCAGGCCAAGGACCTGTAAGTTTTCAGTTCTTCTCTGCCTGGTGGCTCTGATGTATTTCTGTGCTAACTGGTTCCTTATCCAGCTTACACTTTAAGTTGCTTGACATGGATATGACTGCTGGTGCTAGATTACATTGAAGATAGGGTCTTGCATAAGGAACTTCAAGAGCTTTAGGGTGTTCCCTTCTGGTCCATTTGCTCCAGGACTGAATGTATCCTTGATGAAGCAAGACCTTGTAGCTGTTCTAATGGGCTTCCCTAATCTTCAGTCAGTTTTATACTTCTGCTGCCAAATGACAAATGATGCCTTGGTTACTATTGCAAGGAACCATTGTAATATGATCCAATTTCGTTTGTGTGTATTATCAAACCTCAAACTCATGTAACCCTTGAATTACTTGATGCTGGTTTTGGGGCCATTGTTCAACACTGCAAGTAATTCCAGCAACTCTCTCTTTCTGGCCTCCTTACGGACCGTATGTTTGAGTACATCAGGGTCCATGCTAGAAGTTAGAGATGCTTTCCTTAGCTTTTCTGGAGGATAAGCATCTATGCCTCCACTACGTGCTCTCTGGCTGTGATAGCCTCCGCAAGTTGGAGATTAGAGACTGCCCCTTTGGCGATGAGGCTCTGTTGTCCAACGGTGCAAAGCTGGAGAGATGTAATCCCTTAGGATGTCTAAATTGTTCAGTATGTATCCTTCTAGCTCAGAAGTTGCCAGGGCTTAATGTTGAAGTTATAGACGGGAAGGTAATCCGGACACGAGACAAGAAAGTTTCCCTGTGCATCATTATGTATCCTCTAGTAACTTGTTTTCTGGTGAAATGGTGTTGTCATGTACTTCTGAGCATGTATAGTTGAACTTTAATTGTAATTCTCTATGAAGAATAATGTGAACTAAGTCATTCATTTATATATCTCAAGTGCATATCATGACCTTGCAATATGATGCAAATGAAATCCCATTGGTTGTAACTTTCAAAAGGTATTTTATTGTTTTACTGTTCTTTCTTCTACATTGATAAATCTGCTTTAATACTAAAGAGATTATTACATCAAACAAATTAATAATACTCTGTTTGTCCTTAATTACTTATCCAATTTTGAATTGACACACCTATTAAGAAAATAATTATTAACATAGTGAGTCTACCATTTTACCTTTATTAATTATGAAGTATTAATTATGAAGTGGATGAATTTAAGAAATTCTAATTTTTTTTAAAGTACTTAATTGAGGGTATAGCCCAAAAATGGAAAAATGATAGAAATGTCACCTATAAGTTCTCTTATTACCATTATCTCCTATTAATTTTACAAATCTACAAAATCCATCATTTTCGCACATTAGAGTAATGTATCAATGCATCATATTAATGTATTTCGCAAATCAAATTAGTGTATCATGTATATAATGTACATAAAATAAGTTTATCATATATAAAATATAATGTATTTTTACTTAACGACTAATATATCTCGCGCCTCAAATTAATGTATCAGCACTTATATTATTGTATCAGTTTGAGGATTTATGTTATTATAAAATTATAAGGGCTAAATGATAATTTTACCTTAAAAGTATGTGATTTCTGTCATTTGCCCCACAAAAAAGATTGTCTATTCTTAATAACTGTAAAAAAATAAAAAGTGGACAAGTATAGTATTATTTTGTTATCAATAATTTCTTTTGATACTGATTACACATCCCCCAGATATTAATACTAGTTATACTTTCTCCGTCTCATTTTATGTGGCATTTTTTTCGTATTTTAAGATTTGAACAATTTTATTTTTAACCGTATATTTTTCATACATGTTTTTTAACATTTTGAGTTATCTAATTTATAGTACTCTTTACAAATATATCAATTTTATTTTTTTTAAATTGAAAATTTCATAGACCAAAATTAAATTGTTTGAATGTCAGAAATTCTTATTAGGTCACACTGAAAATTATTGAGAGCGATGAGCAGAATTTGTCTGAGGAATTGCAATGGTATTCTCTCTATCTCCTCTTCTTCAGGCAGTAATTTTGAATGTTTAGATGATGCTCTTACTCAATTCCATCAAATGGTTAAAAGGAAACCTCTTCCTTCAGTTGTCGATTTCTCTAAATTATTGAAGAATTTGATAAATAGGAAGCATTACTCAAATGTTGTTTCTTAAATTAGGTATACCAATTGATAGGTTCATCTTGACTAATGTGATTAACAGTTATTGCCTTGTGCATACTACTGATTGTGCATTTTCACTGTTATCTATTTACTTGAAGAATGGCATTCCGTTTGATACTGTTGTATAAGAGGAATTTTTGCTGAAAATAAGGTTAAGGATGCTGTGGAATTGTTCAAAAAATTAGTGAGAGAGAAAACTTGTGAGCCTGACGAATTCATGTATGCAATCGTAATGAATGGGTTAAGCAAAAGAGGTCATACTCAGAAAATTGTAAGTTTGCTACGGTTAATGGAACAAGGTAAAACTCAGCCCGATATATGTATCTACAACATTGTTATAGATGCTCATTGCAAAGATGGAAACTTAGATGCTGCTATCAACGTTCTGAATGAGATGAAACAGAAAGACATTTATCCCGATATAGTCACATATACTTCAATAATTGATGGTTTGTGTAAGTTTGGTCAGTGGGAGAAAGCTACGACTTTGTTCTCTGAGATGGTGAACATTCATATGTATCTAGATCTGCGCGTCTTCAATATACTAATAGATGGACTATGCAAAGAAGGGAAAGTTGAAGATGCGAGGAAGTAATCAGAAACATGGTTGGAAAGGGTGTAGAGCCTGATATATTCACTCATAGTATGATAATGGATGGATATTGTTTGCGTGGTGAAGTAGATAGAGCTAGGAGAATTTTCGATATCTTGATAGATAAGGGAATTGAGCCTACCATTTTTAGCTATAACATACTAATAAATGGTTACCGTAAGAAAAAGAATCTTGATGAGGCCATGCAATTGTTTAGTGAAATTTCTCAAAAGGGATTAAAGCCTAGTATTGTTACCTACAATACTATCTTACAAGGTCTGTTTGAAGTTGGAAGAATTGGTGTTGCAAAACAACTGTTTGTAGAGATGGAATCTGCAGGACTTGCCCCTGATTTATACATGTATGGTACTTTGCTTGATGGTTATTTCAAGTATGGACTTGTCGAAGAAGCTATGTCACTGTTTAATAAGTTGGAAAGGAAGATAGAAAATGTTAATATTATATATTACAATATTATCATTAATGGATTGTCTAAAAACGGTGAACTTGATAAAGCTCATGCCATTTTTGAGAAGCTTTCTTCAATGGGATTGGTTCCGGATGTGAGAACATACACTATTATGATAGCTGGATTTTGTCAACAAGAGCTGTTAGATGAAGCTAAGGATATGCTTAGAAAAATGGAAGACAACGGTTGTTTTCCAAACAATTTCACTTACAATATTATTTTGCGAGGATATCTTAGGTGCCGGAAAATAAATGAAATGGTAAGTTTTATGAAGGAGATGAATGGAAGGGGCTTCTCATTTGATGCAACTACAGCTGAGTTACTAGTAAATGCTATTAGTGAGAATCCTTCGGTCCTTGACATGTTACCAGAACTTCACGAGGAAATCAAGAAGTGAAAATTGTTTATCGCTTGGTTTTTTCAGCTGCAGTATGTGATACAATTTCCTTTTTATCCTTGCAAAAGGATTGACATCCAATGCAATTGCAGAAGTTGATGGCAATTAGAGCGTTGCTTGAGGTTTCTTAGGCAGACCTACTGAGGAGGTATATTGAATTTTGATATTTTGAGTTCTATATCCGTTTTTCTTTTTCTCAATTGCACCATAAATATGAAAATAAAATGGTAATCTTATCGAGTTAAATATAACAATGTTGAGTTTCATTATGTGTTTTAAGTCTAGTAATATCATTTATCAGGTGCTATTTAGTCATTGAATCTAATAGGAAATACTATAGTTGCCAGATTTGTGTTCTTTCCATTTGGCCTTGTCTGGTAAAGCATTTTGCAGCCCTTGAATCCTTCATTCACTTGTCAAAATTGAGAATTTGACAGTGCATGTGTAAAACTTAACCAATCTCTCTATTTGTTTCCGAACCCCATATCTGTAATCGAGTTCATCAAAAATCCCCAATTTACATGGTTGTCACCTTCTATATCTCCAGCTAAATCAATAGCCAAGTGCTCCTTATCTTCTTCTTCTTTTTTTTTGATCCAAAGCCTCATTACTTGTCTATCTTTAGTGAATGCCAACTGTTTTCTGTCCAATAATTTTCTGATAAATTGCTTCGATCTTCTTGCCAGCTGTTTGGCTAAAATTTATATACACTATCAATCAAACTAATGTATTTGAAATGTTTCAACTTTTTCGCGAGTTTAAAGCACCAATTATCATTTGTTTTCTTTTTCTGCCTGGACTATCACTCTCTATGTATTAAAGAACAGACCTCAACAATCAATTTTTCCCTTTTCTTCTTGAAAGATGGTGGTAGTTCAGGTAGAAAGAGAACAACTGACAGTAGAGGTGTGTATGATAGTTCAGTTCATGGAGGAGGAAAAGGAAACATCTTATAGTTGAGGTGTGAAACTCACAAAAAATCGATGTGTTTTTGACTATCAACTCTCCATTTTTCATGGGAGTTTATGTTGCATGTATATTCCTTGCAAAATGTTCGTTCTGGTGAAAATACTCCACTACTTTCGACACATCATCCTTGACAAATGACAACTTCACTTGGAGAGCCTAATATGGCATTTGTTCTACTCAAATGTATATTCAGTTGGCAATTTCTTATCCCGGTAAATAGTGTGGATAACTTTTTGGATTTTGTTAATTCCCTGTCTGCTTCATGTTTTGCTCTCTTGTAATCTTGCATTCATCTTAGTAGGGGCCTGTGGAGCTGGACTTGCAAATAAAAGGCTATTTTTATTACTTCTGTAAAATAGGAGTATTATTTATGTGTATGTTTTGAATTATAACTAAACTATGTGTTGCCTTCTTCTACCAATAGTGCGCCTTGTGGTCGAGCTTAATGCACCAGCGCCTTGTGGTTGAGACCCGTGCATATTGAAAGCAGCTTAGTGCACCTGTCTTTGCGCTCTTAACCTATATAAATTGGCTAATCAATTTGTAGTATTGTTTCGGCTTTCGGACTTGTTTTTGTCCCCTAAACAATATGCATGCACTATTTCTCTTATAACGATGATTTTTCATGCCTTTTTCAATTTATTTTGCCATAACATAGCAAATATTTATTCCAGATTTGTACTTTCCATCAGTGTAACGCAACTTGTGTTGTAAGCTCGGAAAAACATTGAACACCCATCAAATGCTTTGCCATTTTCTGTTTCTACGATCTGTGCCAGCAACTGCACTAAAGTGTCTTCAATCAAAAGAAAGATCCCGTCTCTCCAAAGGATATCGAATTGGAAGTGTTTCTCCATCATGATTCCTTCTTCAGATTGTGGACACTTCTGTATAGCTCCTCTTCCCGAGCACGCTTTGCAGCAAGAGCTTCCTCGTCAAGCACTTGGATAGGCGACCATTCAGGAAGTTTTAGCCAATCATCCTTCTTATTGACCAGAGAGTCGTAGTAGCTTCTCAAGGCTGGTTTTACTCTTATAGTAGCATAATCAACTGTTGTTCCCACAACTGCAAACATGACAGAATAACGAACAGCACCAAGTTGACCACCTGATAATCATCCAATAGAATCGGTCAGCTATTTATCAGGTTCATAGAGATCAAGCACGATCACTAGTACGTCTTGAGAGAAACATATCAGATTTGAAAAGCATAGATGCAAATGTTGTCATCAAAAACTTCAGCTCAAACTGCATCCAAACTGAACTTGATCAACTAATAGTATCGGTAATAGGAAAAAGAGTTGCAAATATTCCAATATAGCTTAGAAAGTAAGGGAAATATAGTTCACAAAGCTTCTGATATGCATTGTGACTTTGTGGGTTTCAAATCCAACCACAACAACAAACACAGTGAGATCCCACAGGTTGGGTCTGGGGAGTGGAAGTAGAGAGGTTGTTTCCGAAAGACTCTCGCTTGTGGGCTTCAAACCCAAAGAATAAAATATCAAAAACATAAGCAAGGGTAAACATGACCAATGTAGAGCACTTTCCAGATTACAGAGTAAAAGCTACAATCTTAACTGCTCTCCTCGCACAAGTATTTATCCAACATAGCTATGAGATTAAACAAAGCTTCTACACCATGAGAATACAACTTTATATTGAACTGATAAAAGGTATGATACATACAAGAGGTCTATCGATAGTATCGAAGCCATAATAAACTTTAAAAGTAGATGTGCTGAGAACACTTATTTTGAATTAATATCACGAAAATATCGGTGCCAACCCAACTAATTTGGAACAGGGGGACTTATGTTGCATGACCAGAATGTTGAAATACAAATGCATAGAGTAACTGTTGTTCACCAAACTACAGAAAATCGAAATACTTCCCATAATCATTGGATCACAAACTAAAGTGAGCATAACTAGCTCGTTTTTTTAAGTTGGAACTAACAAAACATCTTCAGCATATTTTAACTGATGCTTGGATTCATAAATTGAGCAAGAGGCCCATTAGATTTGCCACCCAAGGGTGTATCCTACTGGTCAATAAGGTGGGACGAGAACGAGGTCTCAAATTCAATCCCAGTAGGTGAACTCTTACCATCAACCTAAACCTGACCTTAGTGGGCAAAGTTACCCAATACTTGTGCTGGTGGGAACAGTACCCAAGGGAATAATCGCATAAGCTGGCCCAGACACTACAGGCATTAAAAACTTTGGATCCAACATCGAAATTCCAACAACTCTCCAGGGAATCATTTTATATGAATTGCAAAAGTATCACTCGCCTAAGAACTTCTTGCCAGGAGTCTCTTCCATTTGTTTGATCTTTTTTTATATATGATGCAAGGTTCCTCCAATTAAGAGACTTTTTTCCCGTTAAAGATTTTTAAAAAAAGGAAGTAGTGAACAAATCTAGCTGCCCTGATTAGCAAACAAACATGACCATGAAAAATCAGCAAAGGGGCTCGCTCAGTGAAACTATTTGTACCATGATTATTTATAAACACAACCTTTTTTTAAGAAGTAAATAAATATCTAAACACATGATGTCATTAGAAAGAAAGACCACATGTCTAGTTAATGTCTAAATTAGCCTATCCTGCTGGAGCCTTTGATGCACTGGCGGCTGGCGCACACACAGAAACACATTGAGAGAGAGTTGCAAATTTTACCTTGCAGACGTCCAAGTATAGCACCACTACCAAAACCTCCAATAGCTGAGTTCAGCAGATCATCAGGCTTTCCTGTTCTACTTGCTCTTACGAACTCACGAGCACCTGCCCACAAATAAAAAAGAACATATATTAACTTCAGATTTATGTGCCATTGGACACAAACAACACCACAGTAGTGAAACGGCTATGATCACTCTTTTGACTAAACTTCACCCATGGGCTTCTAAGAAATAGAAGATCTTAAGTGGAATCAACGTCCCAAGTCCAGAGCCAGGTTTTTCATATATAGTTGCAGTATGAGAGTCCATCGTGCAATGAAGACTGCATAAATTATGTGGATTAATTTGTTGTGGATAAAGCTGTTATAAACATTTTGAACAGTCTGTAAGAAGATGAGTTTATTCATGACAGCTAGACTAGATGACTGCTAAATCTGTGATAAAAATTAACATCACCAAAAAAGTGGAGTGTTCAAGAATAAAATATGTGAGGAATGCAGATGAGGTGAATAAGATTGTCACGTGTGGAATCTGAAAGATGCAAACTTATGAAGCAGAAATCTGAACAGAATACCAGATTATTGGCTTTCAAATTATAAGAGGAGAAATTAATAATACAATCAATCAAGTAACATCACTCCCATGTTAGTGGAAGTTGGCTTGAATTCTTTGTCTCCATTCTGCTCCATTCAAATTTATTCATTCTAACACTAAGATTGCCTTTTAATAGTAATTAGGGGCTCTCTATTCTCTAAACCGGTAAATCTCCCGTCATTCAAATCTAACCAAAATAGAAGGACTCCTAATAAACACGGGATCTAACATATGTGCAATATAGCAACATAAATCTTTATACCGACTAGTGTTTTCTTTAATGAGAATGGTAACTTCTTCTTCTATTTATCCCCAGGTATACTACATCAAAGTAGCCCCCTTCCAAAAGTATTACAAACTAAACAGACTCCATACCGACTAGTTTTTATAACTGTGGTACAACAAGAAGCTGGACTTATCAACCAAAAAAATAGAAAATAACACAAATCTAGAAGCCCAGTAGGTGGAATCTGCTATTGTCAGATCGATGGGTGATTTTAACAATAGAAAAATGTTGCGAGCGTATTTGAACCAAAAGGTGGATGAAGGATAATTTTACATCATTTACTAATTCATAGTGATATTTTTTGGCCCTTTTCTATTTCCATTTTGATGTTGCTGGGGGAAAATGTTGCAAAAAGGGGAGGGTCAGAGAAAGTAAGCAAATCTGTAGTACTAAAACAGCACACAACGTGGCCTAACATTTTCAACATCTTGGAAACAACATGTCTCCCCCAAACCAAATTCAAAATCAAATTCAACTCAACACAAGTCTTCATGACATGATTAAGAGATATAAAATTTTAAAACATGTAAAAGAGTGAGATTACCGCAATAACATGCAGTGACGATAGCAAAATTCGTTGCATAAGTTGCACAAATGTTTGCTAAGCCATGAACTTTCCTGTGCTTTGATACCAAACCAGCTCCTCCACCAGCCACCCCTAAATTCCATACAAAAAAAAAGAGTTACAAATATCAAAATAACTTGTCAAAAATAACAATAAACTTAGATGAACAATCAATTGATCAAATCAACTATCTCAAATAAGTTTGAAATCGACTATTTAAATTTGCCCGCAGGAATCCGGTAGATTTTGCTCAAACAGTGTATACGTGTTAATAAATTCATTAAATTTATACATATATTAACTTTAGCATCCAGTTATTATCACTTAAAAATCGTCCTAAAATTCAAAATACATAAAACTTGAAATTCTGGCTTCGCCTATAAGTATATTCATTTCATTTTCACTGTATTTCGATCGATTTAATCACGTGTAAGCTCAAAATATCAATTTAAAAGCGTAAATCGAATTAAAATTAGGGTATCCGTGAGAACTAAAAAGTACCAGCTAAGAGAGTCGGAAAAAGAAACCGTTCCTTCCAATCTGATGATGATGAAGACGCAGATGAAACTTGTTCTTCTGAATCACTTTTACGCATGGAATCCATTGATTCTCGATTTCGATCTTCTAGTGAAAGTTGATCGGAATCGGAGAGATTTGAGTGACCCGAAACGAAAATAGGAGGACTGAGTTTTGGATTTAAAGAACCGGCCCAATTAAAAATGGGCTAGTCTAGATAAGAATTTGAAAACTTACAAGAATATACTATAATTAAATATAAATAAACTATAATACTATAATTAAATATAAATAAACTATAATTAAATATCATATTTATATGTTATATTTATAGTTTATATAACTACTCTATATAACAAATTTTATATTTGTTATGAAACTTTTGATTTGTATAATTCGCTACAAACATCTAATTTTATACGAATTTTTCGATTTTGTATAAATTCATTTATATATTATAATTTGTATAATAAGATCTATATTTATATAATTTTAAGTGTATATGACGAAAATATATGTATTTATATTTGTATATACACTTTTCTCTTGCTTTATACAAACACAAACATGTTTTATACATTTTATACCTAAATATATAAAATGACTAATTGAATACCGGAAATGGCTAATTCTTTATCGAATCAGATGACAAAAAAACGAGATGTTTGCTGCGAAATACAATAAAAATAAACTATGTCTATAACATTTAATTTGAATTAATAATTTATTATTTCATACAATTTTCCTATTTATAATACATGTTTAATACATATTA